TTTAAGAATCACTGTTTTCGAAAGTGTTTCTTAAAAAGAACTTTTTTCAGTTTGTATTGGATGATTTCTATCTCACTTCATCCAACGCAAATTTCAATTGCTCACAACTAGACTGCCAAAATTTGTACAATATTTAATTTATGGAAAATTTTAATGTATAAACATACAAAGTTTGTATTATGATATATAAAAATTTAAATTTTCACAAATATCTATGCCTCGCTTAAAATTTAACAAATAAGGACCAATATTCTTTGTTTCAATTTCATAATAACCTGTAAATTTATGACTTTTGCAAGATTTCAAACCACGTAATATTACAATATGTGGTTAATAAATAAGTGAAAAAAAACTTACTGTATTTTAATATAAAAGCTCGTCGATAGCTTTTCAAAATATTTTTCAAAGATTTATCTTTTCTATATCTGATGACAAACTTAACAAACGAGTAGACCAAGAGTGGACCGAGCATGCGTGTATCTTATATCTCCATAGAAAGACACGAGTTATAGCCACCACGAGAATCATCTACCTACATTCTCGATTTATTTTTACAAGACATTCTTCCAGCCTGCATGAATTTCGCGAGATTGAAATAATGGAACATCACCAAGAAAATCTCGACATTTTCATTTCCCAAATATTCGTGCACAGCGGCAACCCCCAAATTCCATCTGACGAATATTCTTAGGTAGATGGAGGAGGAATATTTGGAAGGATCGCGAGAATCGTGTCCGAGAACGCTAATGACGATCTTTCGGGCTGGTTTCTGGAATTCTGCACACGATCTACAGATATCCGTTGCAAGCATGCTATGCAAGACATTGCTCACGCTCTTGATTTACGTTGGAATCCAAGCAAGAGGAGATCTCTGGACATCGAGATACATCTCGACGATGAAATATTAGATTGTCCCAAAAGTTCTTTTCACCGTCATTTGCGCCGTGGCTTGAGAAATATAATCCTATTTGCTTTCCATTCATATTAACACGTTTATACACGCGACGCAATATGTCTTTCACGATCAACATTTCGTTGTTAATTTTATCGTATTCAACCAAGATGATTACATGTTAAAAGGTGTCACATTTCTTCGTTTTTCTTCTAAATCTTTTTGCAAAATAAATTAACTAACTAATGCCACAAAATTCTTTTATAATTAGAGTCAAGTTTGATTAAAGGAGAAAAAAAAAAAAAGAAAACTGATCATTTCAATGACGTTAAACGTCATCTTTATTTTCATACGTTTAAAAATAAAAATAATTTCGAAAGAGGAAATACCCGATCCCGTTCGTTATTCTAGAAAAATGAATTAAAGTAAAAAACACGATAATATCGTAATATATTTCTTATGACGCCGGCGAAAACGGTGTAAATAGTTAGGACGATGTGAAATAGGCGGGTCTGTTGCAGAGGCGAGCGTGAAGGATAGTGTTCTTGGAGTTGCATATGCATCGGAACACTTTGCTCGAACAATAAATTGCACCTCTTGTGTCGAGCGTTAGAAGACGAACGAGCAAACGAAATTCGCAATGGAACGACATTAAGGGAAGAGAACGAAAAATAAGAATAAAATTCTTCGTGTGATTCATTCAACTTTTATTAAGATATTAGAACTTTAATATCTATCCAGAATCTTGTTCTTTCTTAGCATATTAATCAAGATCTCACTCATAACAGAATGAGCAAACCAATTTTCTATCTGTTAATATTAGAAACATAGGGGGAAATTTCTAATGTCTTCCACGATGTGTGCCACAAACCACTTGAAAATTATTATTTTCATTGATTTCATAAACTTTGTGACGATACAATATTTCGTAGTAAATAATGTTTCTCCAAAAATAATTTTGTATGGAAAAATTTAAAATTCTCACATCATCCGAAAAATTAATTTTACAAAAAGTAACTTCTGCGCAACTTAAGTTTAAATGAATAAGCAATTTTCAGTATTAACATTTTGATTTATTAGTTCCTCATATTTCCCCCCCCCCTCCCCCAAATATCTTCCAATAGATATACGCCTAGCTCCCTCTACACCCTCCTTATGGAAATTAGCAATTAAAGTTGAATCATAGTTCTCTAACGAAGATATTCGAAAGGAAATGAAAAACTTAATGAAAATATTCATTGAGATTATATTGGCGATTAATTTTTCACTTTAAATTTAAAATTTCTTTGCCTATTAAATTAGAATCACTTTATTTACTTTTCTCATTAATAATTTATCATGGAAAATTTCAATGAACGTTTCTCGAATTTATCGATCAAACTTTTAAGTTTTTAACCTATATATTTTCTATTTTCTAATTTCATAGAAAAATTTTCCAATTTATCAATTTAATCTAAAATATAAGCTTATTAATTTTTAAATTTACGTATCATATTTCCTTCGCTATTGTTTCATTTATAATTTTTTAAAACACGCGAAATCGAATTTTTCATCACATCAGAATCAACGGTTGCATCGATATATATATATATATCAATTCGTTATCACAATTGTAACACATCAATACAGGCTTTAAACGTGGAGCAGAGTGACAAATGTGTGTTTTTGTGCAACATTATGCAACGCCTCTCTTTGATTTATCTTTACAACCTTGTCTCTCTGTTAAATCACATTCTTGCGGGAAATCCATCGTTATGTTACATAAAATTACGCAATCGTGCGAATTAATCGATTTTAAGTAATTAAAGAAATCGCATTATGATATAAATAATATATGTGACATGTTTTAAATAAATTTATTTACATTTACGTTTAAAGCGATTTAAAAAAAAAACTCGACATTTGACTCTTCGCACATTGTATTATCCGCTTATTAATCTGATTATCATATTCAATAATACACGAATTAAATAGACGAGAGACGACAGAGATTATATGTTATATAAGATAAAATAATCGTATGAAGAATTATGTAATAATATATTTAACAAGTTGTGAAATAAAGAAAAATATATTTTTTAACGATTATATTTTATAACGACTCGTTAATGCGTGAATTAACGAAGAAGAAGAAGAAAAAGAAGAAAAAAAAAAGGGAGAAAAAATTGTTGCATAAAAATATAAACGTATACAATTATATAATATTTACATAATAGGAGAAGATTGTTATTCACAATAATTGTACGAAGAGTTGTACACTTTAAAAAATATTTTTATTATTTTATTTTACTTTGTTTTTTTTTTTTTATTTTCATTCGTTAAGTTATCAATCAGCTAAGACAAAATGTTGATTACATAACTAACAGGATGTAGTCAAAAAACTAGGGTAACTGTCAATTGCTAATGATGAGTAATTTAATATCTTGTAGGCGTTCCATGAACATGTGCGTATATTCATCAGATAAATGAAGTTCGAGTGTTTAATAAAACTATAAGAATTAAGCAGTCGTTGTGAAAGAAAGGTTAAAAGAAAATCACAAAGAGATGTCATGAATAAGTAACGAATCTTGTGTTATAATAGATATACTCTAATATCCAAACTGCACTATCTCTATTCCAATAAAATAATCACACGTAATAGTGGAAATAAAATTTAAATTGCAACTGATGTTGGACACGTGTATATGATATATACGGATGATGCAAAAAGTTAAATTTAAATTATTCTATAGATTAGCTCATCCAAAATCTTTTTAAGAGCTAAGAGAAAGGTGAAAAGAGAGTAGCAATGATAAAATAAGAATTCCAATTTATAATATTATTTTTTAAAGCACATATAATACACAAATGATAAGAAAGAAAGAAGCTTAAATGATCGATTATTCACTGTTCAATTTCAGGTAGAGTTTGAAATATTTGAAAAGTGTTAGAATTTATAGGAAAAATTGAAGCAAAATGTATTTTGATTTAGTCGAAAAACTTTTGGATATATGACAAATTTGTGTTATCGTGTTAAAATAACAATTTTATCACAATGAGTCATAAAATTAGCAAAAGGTGATAATAAATGCATTAAAAAAAAAAAAATGCAACTCTTTAGAAAATGATATTTGAAAATAAAAATTATTTTTTAAATCCAACGGTATTAATCAAACGAGGTATTTATCGAATCGTTTTAAAAAATTTTCATCAAAAATATTCCTTTTTTTACTTTCGATTTCCAAAGAATTTGAACATTTCTATACTAACTTTCTACTTCTCTTTTATTCTACTTCAAAAATTTAAACAATCAAATATCAGATAAATTTATATCGAATGTTTTATTTTTGAAACATTCCAAATACAAATATTATTGTACAAAAATATGAATTGAAGTTTATCCTGTTAACAAGCAATTAAAATTTACGTTATGCGAAGCAGAGACGAAGAACAATGATTTCGTTCCGTCTTCCTCCAAAACCGAACTGTTTATAACTTAATAAATAAGTTTCAACCGATATTTTTGTATATCAAATTTCGTGTTTGTTTTGGCCTCTAAAGTCTACCCTCCAAAGGTGTTCTATGAATATACGTGTTACAGGATAATATTCACGTGTAGAATGTTAATATATAATATCCGTGAAAAAACTTTCGCAAGGTCGATTCTAGAGGCCAAAACAAACACAAAAGTTGGTCGGCAAAAATGTCGGTTAAACGCTTATTTATCAAGTTACGAGTAATTGATGCTCGCGTTGAACGGAACGAGATGGAGATAGAGAGCCGTTTACACGACCAAAACATACGAATTAATGTTTTCTCTTTCTTCGAGGATCGACGAGTATTCTCTCTACTTCGATGCTCGAACGAAACATATATTATCTCTACGCGAATCGACATTGTTTAACATGGTGTATATTTTATTAAAATTTCATTTATATACAAAATATACAATTTTGATATTAGGCAAAACGTGCATAACAAAATATTATTATAATTTATTCGAAATGCGAGTGAAAATTGTATCATTGATATTCGAATATACCTTTCGAGAGTAAAAATGGCATTTTAGGGGATAAATTTTACAAGTTAAGAATAGCAATTATTAATTGATAACGGTAGTTTCTCTTACCTTGCCTTGCATAATCAGGCGAATGGTCAGAGTGACCGAGGGGTCGTCGTTCAAAACTGGTTTCGAATCCATACTGTCCATAACGGAGTCACAGATTCCTGTGGTTCAGAGAGAGAGAGAGAGAGAGAAGAGAAGAAAAGAGAGAAGAGAGAGAGAGAGAGAGATATCTTCTTGAGATATTTAATAAATAAGTTTCAACCGATATTTTTGTATATCAAATTTCGTGTTTGTTTTGGCCTCTAAAGTCTACCCTCCAAAGGTGTTCTATGAATATACGTGTTACAGGATAATATTCACGTGTAGAATGTTAATATATAATATCCGTGAAAAAACTTTCGCAAGGTCGATTCTAGAGGCCAAAACAAACACAAAAGTTGGTCGGCAAAAATGTCGGTTAAACGCTTATTTATCAAGTTACGAGTAATTGATGCTCGCGTTGAACGGAACGAGATGGAGATAGAGAGCCGTTTACACGACCAAAACATACGAATTAATGTTTTCTCTTTCTTCGAGGATCGACGAGTATTCTCTCTACTTCGATGCTCGAACGAAACATATATTATCTCTACGCGAATCGACATTGTTTAACATGGTGTATATTTTATTAAAATTTCATTTATATACAAAATATACAATTTTGATATTAGGCAAAACGTGCATAACAAAATATTATTATAATTTATTCGAAATGCGAGTGAAAATTGTATCATTGATATTCGAATATACCTTTCGAGAGTAAAAATGGCATTTTAGGGGATAAATTTTACAAGTTAAGAATAGCAATTATTAATTGATAACGGTAGTTTCTCTTACCTTGCCTTGCATAATCAGGCGAATGGTCAGAGTGACCGAGGGGTCGTCGTTCAAAACTGGTTTCGAATCCATACTGTCCATAACGGAGTCACAGATTCCTGTGGTTCAGAGAGAGAGAGAGAGAGAGAAAGAGAAGAAAAAAGAGAGAAAGAGAGAGAGAGAGAGAGATATCTTCTTGAGATATTGAAGGGGGAGGGGAAGGATAAGAGGCAGGATAAGGTGGGCAGGGGAAAGGTTAGGCGAGTGATTTTAGTTGGAGGGGTCTGTGGGACGTGCTTTTCAATCGCTCCCAGGTGTGTTCAGTCCTTGCACTGTAATCAAACAATATGCGCAAATATTAATCGATCGTTCGATACGAAGGGGAATTTTTCTAATTTTCGAAATTTATTCGAAAGTTGAAGTTTGTTCGAGAAACTTTCGACCCGCGACCGACAATTTTCTAATTATTTGTGATTTGTGGATGTGCAGTGTGAGTCGATAGAAGATGATCGATAGAAGGTGACGAAGGTATAAAGAGTCTTGTACCGATTTTTCATGCAATGAATTAAAAAATTTTTTTTTTTTTGAAAATTGTACACAGATTCTTCTGTTTTTTTTTTATCCAATTAAATCGCGTGTTCATCGATTTAATAATATTTTCAAAAAAAAATAAATAAATAAATTACTTAGACATAGTTAGTGGGGAAAAAAAAAAGAAGAAAAAAGAAGGAAAGAATCGAGTGAACGTGGCCAGTAATCGATCGAGCATATTATACTTTTATATTAGAAAATATTGTTCGAAGCTACATACGTATTTACTTTATTGCTTTCTGATTGCGTTCATCTACGAGGCAATAACTATCAAAGCAACTGTTTTTAAATCCGTCTTGTTGAATATGTATACCGACGGTAAAAACGGTATAAAGAGGGAGAAATTTATATAATCACAAAAGAAACGGAGGAGGAATCGGATGCAAAGATTTTTTTTTTTTTTTTTTTTTTCCAATTATTCCGCAAATAGCGTTGGAGAAGTAGTGTCATTGTGTGCCTGCCTCCTCTTACCATCCCATTATCTCCGTTTTATCTGAATGCAAACATTAATTCAACTGCATATCGAAGTATATATATATATATAAAGTAATCATGCAATAAACCGCAGGTGCTTAAAAAATAATTTGACGTCTCTACTGACGATTCTCTTTGTATTTGTAATTGGTAAAAATTTGCAAACGATTGTGCAACGATTTCGATCCGTCTTCTTTGAAAAGAGATATATATTCGAATATGGAAATTATCGGGAAATTCGTTCCAAATCATCTCCTCCTCGCCTCCTTATTATTCACAACAATTTATTTTTTTAAAAAATAAAATACGGCGTAGACTTGGTTGAGAATTGGTAAGTCAAGTAATTAAAATATGAATTTCTCAAAATTCTCAGAAAATATAATTGAAATAATTCGTTGGAAAAATAAAATAATTCATCGATATTGATTGACTCACGAATTCAACCAGAATCGTTGTTCTTAATGCTGCCATCAAAATCACTGGTCAATTCTGAAATTTATTGTTCTGACGGTTATTATATCAACGATGCTGATTGGCGAATTCGATCGATATTCTTGTACTCCAAATTAGTATCGGTGAATTCGATCATTATATTTGCAATTAATTAATACTGTTGTCCTCTTCAAAATTGGCCAATCCTGACAATTCGAACTCGGTCATAATTCTTGCGATTAATATTGTCATCGGCTGTCCAAATTAGTATCGGTGAATTCAATCATTGTTCTTGCGATTAATAGCGAACATTGGTTAATATTGGTTACTAGACTGCTCCTGTCGATCAAGATTGACGTCGATGAATTCGGTCATTATTCAATCAATATTGTTGTCTATTGAAATTATCGATTGAAATTGCGGTGTTGGCGAAGTTTATCTCATTTCGACGAGAGTCCAAAGAATATATTCGAGCTACATTCAAAAAAAAAAAAAAAAAAATGCAAATAATATAAATTAACGATCGATTAAAAAAAGTTCATTGAGCGAATAATGCAGAGCAGAATTTTATTTATACACATGAAATTTTATTATCTGAATTTCACAACTGAACTCTTATCGTCTTAAAATTTTAGAGTTTGTATTGAATAACTGAAATAACGAAAATTTGATTCGAATTATTCGAAATAAAAATATACTTTTGTCCAAAGAAAAGAAATTAATGTTTTGAAATTAATATTGAAAATAAATAAAATTATCACGAATATATCACGATTTTCTAGCATTTTTCAGCAAATTCAACTAATTAATTACTTATTCATGTGATTTAATGATCATAAATTATATAAGATATGCAATAAAATTTTTCTACACTTTCAAAGCTTTATATATAAAAATATTTCTGATCGATGCATAACTATAAAATTAACATTAAAATCTTTGATCATATTTTCTTAGATCAAGATAAGATAAACAATTTCAAGATAACTAATCCTTTGTATCGTGGTTGTTAAAATTATTTTTAAAAACGAGCTGCAACGTGGAATAAGATAATTCTACATCTACGATATCATAGATGAGAGTTTGAAGGAAATTTATTTTGAACAATTAATTTTAATAATTAATAAACATTAATGTTTGAATCAATGTCGTGTTCTTTATTGAGACAAAACAAATAATTTTTATAATAATAAATTGAAGAATCGGTTGTTTCAGCAAAATAATGTTTACTTTTGATTGAAAATTTGATCATGAAATAATTAAATTCGGAATAAACGTTAAAAAATAAATATACGCAATAATTAATTTTTGAATAATAAGCATGTGATATCAATATCAGTAAGAAATATGTTAATAATAATATAAATATTTGAAATCACTTGTTTTCATTAGAAAAAGAAATAATTAATTTCACAAATAAATTATTCATCAAATAAATTTTAAAATGACGTAATTTAATTGTCCCTAAAAATGATCGAGTTACGTTGATTTTGATTTCGTAAAAGTGTTAAAATTTATAAGAATATTTGCTTTTCAATATTTTCTTCAAATATTTTGCCTGATTTAATAGACAATTATTTAAAAATAATTATAATATATTAAACATTATTATTAAGCATTAAGATTAATTGCGTCTATTTTTATCATATTTTTAAAAAAAAATCTTCCTTTATTCCTTTTTTTTTATTTTAATTCATGATGATATTTATTAAAAAAAGGAAATCATGAATGAAAAAATTCGAATTGTAATACTTTTGCATATTATTTTGTACTTGAAACTTTAAAAAAATTCCTCCAAAACAAAACAGATATCTTTCAGATCTATAATTTTTAGACGATTTTTTTAAATTAACGAAAATATTTCGAAGCTAATTTCATAGCCAAACATTTTTATAAACACCCTGTACATTTAATCTTCTCTATCTCCTGAACTTCTTTCCATCTGAACAATAATCGATCGTAAAACGTATAGAAAATTCTTCTCAAACTTTTTCCCCAAGTTATCATAATTCATTTGAATCGACACAGCGAACCTTGCTAATTAAAATTTATACAGTAGACACTTTCATAAACGAATTTCACGAGGAATGCCAGTTATTCAGATTAACTAATTAAATTTAAACTTTTGTTCGATACACTAATATCGTTTGACGTACGTTTTGTCACAAAGGGATGTGGCTACGTTAAAATATGTATTCCATGCGTTTTGTATAAAAAAAAAAAATTTTATATCGATAAAGGGGAACGAAAATTTCAAATTTATTTTCAATATGGCTTAATAATGATTTGAGAGTAAAAAATTATAATAAAAAATTGCACAAAGGTAAAAAAAGTACCAAGTTTTTCTTCTTAAATTTGATTTATGAATATAATAAATACTATCGTAAATAATATATATATCGTTAGCAATTATATCGTTATCAAATTAGTAATTTTTCTGTTAATAAATTTTCAAATTAAAGAAATGTTAACGAATTAGAAAATATAAGAGGGAAGAAAGTAAAATAAAAAAGTAATTTCAATCAATTAATACAATGATACAAAGAGAAATGTATTACGTATTCAAATAACACATAATTGTAATTGTAAAAGTAATATTTACTTATATAAAACGATATATCATTTGGATCTTACATTTAATATTTATTATATTATTATATTATAACATGTTAAACAATATTTACAAATAAAAATGATATATTATATATTTAAAAAGTCATTGTCCGAAAAACAATATTTAAGCATGGAGGAAGAATATTCGAGAAACTATGGCAAACAGAGACATAAAACCAACACAACTCCATCGATTCTACGCCGGCAAGGATATCCATAACGGACGAAGGACAAATATATCTTAGCTGGAACGAGCCTCTCAGAGATAAAGGAAATAGAATTGCCGGATTTCAACGACTTGACAAACCAAAGAGACGAAGAGCATCTCCAAACCAAGCATTTTCAAATTCTTTTCCATAATTTTCCTGTATAAATAAATTATCACCCGAATTCTATTTTTACGTGAAAATCGCACAGAATTCCAAATAATAGCAATATCTTTGAAACGAACATAATCGTACACAATATGATATATCGAGTAGAAGATATTAAATAGTGGAAAATTGAAATATTTCCATAAGCAAATAATATTTAAATCCAAGTGAATACTATTTACTATTTGCATACAATTCGATGTAAATAAAATATAAGCATCGGAGAAAACAATATATATGATATTTTATATTCATGGAGCAGCTTTGGAGGATCGAGTCTAAAAGTCAAAACAAATACAAAAATATCGGTTGAGGCTTGTTTATCGGGTTATAAGAAATTGAAATTTGCGTTATATGAAAAGAAATAGAAATCATATTAAAATCAATGTTAGAAAATATTACTAAATATTTTTCAATAACAATATAATGTAATATTTAATCAAAATTTGAACTTTTTAAATATATTCAATTATCTTGAAACTTAAATGAAAAAAAAAAAAATTAATATGGATGTACAGTGATTTCTTAAAAATTATATTATCTTATATAATTCAATTTTTCAACAAACTTGAACTACGTAGCTTTCAATGTTAACGTGATTGTTATTAATGTATGCATACACATTTAACAATTTAAAAATTAACATTGAATACACGTTTTCCTATAAAATATGATAATACATTTTTTTAAATAACCGAGCCTCTGTCATTTTTAACAGGCAATTTCACAGAAAATTTCCACAATAAATATCCACAATAACTACTTGACTAACTAATAAGTGAGTAAATAAAGATTGGAAATCTCTTACAAACAGATTAAGAAGTTAATAAATTTTGAAACACGTATCA